CCTTGTGGTTCAAATTGACTTTGTGGTCCAGGGCAATATCCCACAGCGCCAACAATTACTCACTATTAAATCAAAAGAATCCTATCCCCGTTTCGTTTCACCAGATCCATCTAGATAAAGATAGAAACTATTCAATGGGATTCTACCTTCTCCCACACACTCTGAAACTAAACTCCCTTGTGAAAACTTGTAAGTCAGCCACTTCATGCCTTTATAGCCCCCACACACACACACATGCCCCCATTTTAAGTAGCCAATGTCTGAGTTGCCTGTCCCTATCAACTCTGTGTGCTGTGGATAGGCTTGATCCTTGATATGAAGACTCCTTCCCTCTTGGTATTTTGTGGTACTTTATCTATAGGTTATGGTCAGGTTCATCAAATTGTTGCAATTTACACTTCCTTCCTGTATCACATTTCCTTATCTTCCTCTAGTAGAGTTTTAATCATCAAGCCATCCAAGCTAGGTCAAATGAGTACTATCTGCAAGTTTGGGTGTTCTTTCGCAACTCCCCCACTTCATAGCAGCTGGACAGTTTACTCTCAGCTCTAGCCTCCAGTGGTTCAGTGTCCATGGCTCAGAGGTTCCATGGCTCAGAGGTTCCCAAGTTCTCCCCAAACTTCTGACCAATCAGCCCTTCCTCTTCTCTCTCTCATCACAAGATTAGCAGGAGTGTAGGGATCATGGTTTTCATTACTGCCTTTCCCACACTTCCACCAGCGAGCTTACAAGCCTGCTCGTGTGTTTCCTTAGAGTTTCAGTCTTGGAAGAGGGTTTGTCCTGAAGGGTCTTGATGGCTCCCAGATGAACAGCTTGCTTGTTCTTGTAATAGCCAAACAGTCTGCCTTTTTCTTTTCCTGCTGGTCTTTCTTTCAAGAAGTATCTTCTGTTCCTCTAGCTGCTCCAGGTTGGTCTGCATGTCCTTTCAAGTGAGAATGTCCCACCTCAGAAGATTGGGGTTCAGGGTACTCTACAAAGGCTCCACAAGAAGCCTATTTTACTGGGCAAGGTCTAGAACCCCTTTTAGGTATTTCAATCTGTTAATAAGCTGAAGACGGGATTACAAACTTTCTGTAATCATATCTCCTGATATTCCTTTCTATCCCACTCAAGTGTATTTTACATTAGCAGGCAGGGGAAACCAATATCCATAATACAATCTATCACTTTAACATTATTTCCCCTTTTTTACCCATTCAGATTATGCTTCAATCCCTATATCACAAAGCCCTGTTGTTCCAAGGTTGAGCATACAGCCCCATTTATCTCTGTCTCATTTAGCCCATGCAAACCTCCCTACGTGTTCCCCTATCTTCCTCATTTACAAGAGTTTTGACAAATGTAAAATATAGAACATTATTTTCTCCTCAGAGCTCTGTAATATTTAGTGATTGAAAGGTCATGATTTGTTATCTACAGTCTTCAAATGTTTCATAAAAATTTGCCTCTATATATAGAGAGCCTGGTACAGCACTGTGAGCTAATGCTCACAGACTGTAAGGTTGGTTTGAACTAAAAGAACAGTCGCTCTTCAGAAACCCTATACAGTGTCGCTATGGGTCAGAACCGACTCAACAGTACTTAACAACAACAAAATCATTTCCATTAACAATTATCAAGACATAGCAATTTGCTTTATCTACTCATCAACCTAGTCCCTTCCAACACTGGACTGTTGAAGCAGAAACAGATCCCAAATACAATTTTTGTTTCCGAGCACATAAGTATCATTCCCTTTAAAAATACCAGTATAACTATAGATTAATACACCCCAGTGAGCCCATGGTGTGGCACTATAGGATAAGCACTGATTGCTAACCACAAGGTTGGCAGCTCAAAGCCACTCCTTGGAAACCCTTAGGGTCACTAAGAGTCGGAACCGACTCGACCGCATTTAACGAGAACAATGAGCCTTTCGGAGACCTGGTATGACGCTGTAGGGTAAATACTGGACTGCTCACTGCAAGGTTGGCAGTTCAAATCCACCAGCTGCTCCTTAGAAATCCTATACAGGGTTGCTATGGGTCAGAACCGACTCAACAGCACTTAACATGTACCTTTGTGATAGGAGCCCTACTGGTGCAGTGGTTAAGTGCTCTCTACTAATCAAAAAGTCAGTGACTGGAACCTACCAGCTGCTCTGTGGGAGAAATAGGTCAGCTTCCCTAAAGATGCCAGCCATGGAACCCTGTTGGGCAGCTCTACTCCCTTATAGGGTCACCGTGAGTTGGAATCTACTTGACAGCAGTGGGTTTGGGTTTTATGGTTATGTACCAGTCACCTAGCCTCAGCAATCATTATCTCGCGTGAACACACTCTTATTTCATCTCTTCCTTCCTCCGCATTACTATGACACAAGACATTACTAATAGCCAGGTGTATATCTACTCTGTATACTGAGACATTAACTGGGATGTTTTTTATAAAGATTTTTACACTTTAGTCTTCTAAGAAAAAAGATTCAGGTTACTATAATCCCAGTGTGTGTCTACATTTGTGAACTACTACTTGAAATTCTCAAAGTAGTGCAGTAGTTGATATCTTTTTTAAATCTTGGTTTTTCATTTTAATATAAATTTCATCAAATTGGCAGATAACATTTTTCTGGAGATTTTATATTCTAATGATCCCAAATTGGATGCAGCACGAGAGATTTTTAAAAAAATTGAATGCCGTAAACTATACAAATATGTGGGTCAGACTCTTCCACCAGTAGGACGTGAAAAGATTAAAAGGGTAAGTTGAGTTGTTTCTTACCACTCCATTCCTGAAAGATGTGGTGATCTCTGTCCGCCAAGAGAAAACCATCAACCTGTTGCAACATGACAACACTGAGCTAAACCCTTTACATTCAATCCTGTTTAATCTTTGTAGAATGCAGTGTTAAATTGGGATTTGGGAGAGATTAAATAATTTACTCACAGAACCAGTTAGTGATCCAGGATTCATTGTCAGGTCTAACTGACTCTAGACCTTTACTCTCTTCTCAGAAATGAGAGGGGGGCCTGAAGTTTTGTCTAAATGTCAAGGCAGGAAAATAAGGAGAATGGTCCTCAGAATAAAGTACTTGTATGACTTTCATTGAGACTCTGAGGACCTGCTTACAGCTGCTTGACTTCTTCCACCATCTATTGGGTTCTCCTGACTGCACAGATCTGTCTGTCTTCTATAATCCCAACACCCATCCTCCCTCTTGCTGTTGAAGGTCTTTCTCTGCCAGAAAGCCAGTAACACAAGTCATATTGGTGCCAAGAGCCTGCCCCGGCATACTTATTTCAGGTTTTTTTTCCGAAGATGTGTGCGGCATCGGCGATAAGGGATTACACAGAGTCATGAATCATGATAAATTCAAAATCTTCTTATTACATGCAAAACTTCTCATTTCTATAGTACTCTACTTCTCTCATTCTTTACTACCCTGCTCGTTGTTTACCCTCCTGCTCATTCTTTGCTCTCCTGCTCTCCTGCTCTCCTGCTCATCTCTTCTGCTTCTCTCCCTTCCCCTGCTCCTGCTTTCATTCTTTCCTCTCCTGCTCATCTCTTCCGCTTCTTTACTAGCTTCCCCTCCCTCCGTTTCTTTACTGTCTCCTTCTGTACATTACTCTTATTCTTTTTCTTTCTACACTACTGCTCCTGATTATCTACATTACTACTTTCACTACTCCACTCCCCTGCTTCTTCTCTACATTATTCCCTCTATCCTCCCTCCATTCTTGTCTCCTTCTACTTTCCTCTACTTACTCTTACCTCTACTTCTTGCCTCTATTCTTACTTACCTCTACTTACTTCCTCTATCTTACAACCCCCTTATATATCATTACAGAAAACATTGCATTCATAGTAATCAATGACATCAAGGTACAGTCTATCTTGGGGCACATTCCTCATGGTTTACAATTCTTAAATTTACAACAGGGATGAGAAGTTACAGCAAAGACTTATCTCAAGGCATAGGAGACATTCAGGCGCCTTGAAACCTTTTAGTTAAACATTTGTTCCTACATAAATCTATTCTTTTCTCTGAGAAGCAAGTTAACCTTCACATATTTCTTAACCTTTGTCTATTAAGTCTTGTTAATTTTAGTTGTTGGGTGCAATTAACTCTCCATTAACTTCTTCCGTACACTATCTGTTTATAGCCTACAAAAACATCACTTATCAGGGAAACTGAGGCTATGAAAAACAACTTCTCTGATTTACTGATCATTAATTTAAGAAAGTCTAAATCAGACTTTTTATTTAGTATCTGTATATACCCATAGCCTTTATCTATATTCTAAATGTTTTTAGAAATTCTTGTACCCACAGCCCATATTAATGGCTGTGGGATACTTTATTGCCTTAAACTAAGGCTACAAGGAAGAATGTTTACAATCACTAAACCTAAGCTGGTAGTAATTCAATTGACAAATCCTGTCTCCTAGCAATCTTAAGAACATTGTTAATATAAGTATTAAAACTATGTAAGATTACAAGTAGAATAAAATATAGCTAATGTGTGGCTCCTAACTTTTAATAAAAATATACTAAAGTGTAGGAGAGTCAAAGATCTAAAGTAAAAAGGATACTAATAAAATCATGAATAAATCAGAGAATGATTTAACAAGAGAAAAATTTAACTAGGGGTCTGTGCATAGAAATAACTTTGCGGCTCTGCCATGCAAAAAAAATTATTCATCATAGCTCTGCTAAAACAATGAATTCTTCTATGCCCAGGTTTCCCCATGTCTCATTTATTTAATTCCTCAATTAATATATCTCAATTTATTTATTTTAATTCCTTAATTAATTATGGTCCTGGCCATATTGGTAACCACACTCTGCTTCCTAAGACTTCTTGGGACACATTTTACCTCATCTGTTTACTAATAGGTTGATAACCACATGTTTTCAAAATATGAAATTTGGATACAGATTCTCTAAAGTATGACAAAGGCAGAAGCTATGTATTTGTCAGAAATGCCTACACGTTGTTTCTAGCAAAATGTCATTTTCAAAATGCAAACACCTATGTGGCGTAAACATTGAATGTTGAAAAACTGAAGTTCTGACATTGTCTTTTCTAGGAAAACTATAAATGCCTTGCACAGGAGGTTGCTGATGCTAAACCTAATGTACTGCTACAAACTGAACTGAAGGCTGAAGATTTCATAGTGGATGTAAGTAGTCAGACAATTAGCACCATACGTAAAGGCTTCTTAAAAAAATAATTAAATCCCCTAGCATTAAAAAAGTAGTACATGTTCATTATAGAAAAGAGGGAATTATACAGTTGTTAAATTTTCTTTGACATGTTTTTTCAATATTTTTTGGACTAACACCAAAAAAAAAAATCTAAGCCTACTGCCATTGAGTCAATTCTAACTGATAGTAAGCCTGTAGGACAGAGTAGAACGGCCTCATTGGGTTTTCTAGGCTGTAATCTTTATGAGAGCAGACTGACCTAGCAGGTGATGGATTGAACCAATGATGTTTCACTTGGCAGCCTACTACTTTAACCACTGTTCCACCAGCACTCTTCTATATGACTGATAGAATAGTACATATGTTGACTTTTAAATGTGTTTCTAGTCATAAAAGCTATGTTGCCTTTTTTTTTTTTTTTTTTAATGAACTGCACACACACACACATAGGAAAAGACTGGCTTCTGTTTTTGTGTTGGCCAGCCACAGTATTGTCTTGAATCCTAATGAAAATGCTGAATGGTTTTCTAAACTTTTACTCTGTTTCCATAAGAACTTCTTTTTGGAGTTCCACTCTCCTGAAATCTCAGGACAGTGTTCCCTCTTTGAGGTACAATGTGATTATAATAATGTAAAAAAAAAATTTTCAGGAAAAACAAAACAGTGTTGTTTTAAGCAGTCTAGTAAATGTCTCAGATTCGCTTCAGACTAATCCAGTGACTGGAGAAGGGTAGAGATGAAAGAAGACAGCATCTTGTTTGTTACTTTCTTATGAACTCACCCTTGAGTGAGGTATGGTCACTCTGGATCCTTTCTTTGCCATGGGTTACAATGAATGGATTGCCTTGGACCTACTTTTTATTCACTTGGTTACTGGTTAAAGCACCTCAGATCTGCAAGGCAAGCTGCAGTTTCCTGTTTCATGGAAAGTTTCACTCCCTGAAACTTCCTAAACTCTCCGTCCTTGTCCTTGGTACTTTACGTGGGGGACTGTATCACCCACAATATAGTACACTACTCCTGGTGAAACTCCCCCCCAATCTATTTTTTTCCTAGTGGATGTGGGGTCAGAAATACTTGAAGAGGCCATGCATAGAAGATATACACATGGCTTTTAGACATGATGGAGTTCTGGTGCAGTGCTGTGGGACAAGTACTCAACTGTAAGGTTGGTTTGAGCCTCACGGTCAGCGGTTCAAACTCACTAGCCGCTCTTTGGAAACCCTATACAGGATCACTGTGAGTCAGAACTAGCTTGACATCACTTAGCAACAACAGCATTAGACGTAAGTACTGGAATGCAAACCACAGTGTCAGCAGTTCGAGCCCACCAGCCGCTCTATAGGTGAAGGATGAGACTTTCTGCTCCCAAAAGGATTTAAAGCCTTGTAAACCCTATACACCACCAGTCATCTGTCAGTTTGTCAGACTGTGGTGGCTTGTGAGTTGCTGTGATTCTGGAAGCTATGCCACAGGTATTTTAAATACCAGCAGGGTGACCCATGGTGGACAGATTTCAGGTGAGCTTCCAGACGAAGACAGACTAGGAAGAGGGTGTGACGAACTACTTCTGAATATCCAGTCACTGAAAACCTTATGAATAGCAGAGAAATTGTCAGATATATGAGCCCCTCAGATTGGAAGGCACTCAAAATAGAAAAAGGGAAGACCCCCAGAAAGATGGATTGGCAAAGTGACAGCATCAATGGGCTCAAGCATGGCAACAATTGTGAGGTTGGCCCAGGACTGGGAACTATTTCGTTCTGTTGTACATTGGGTCGCTATGAGTTGGTACCGACTCCATGGCACCTAACAACAACAAACCCTGTACAGGGTCACTATGAATTGGAACCAACTCAACAACACTTAACATTAGACATAAACGGGAGCCCTGTGGTGTGGTGGGTTACATGCTATGCTGGGTTGTTAACCACAGGGTGGGAGGTTTGATTCCACTAGCTACTCTACAGGAGAAATGCGGGCTTTGTGCTCTCATATATATTATAGCCTCAGAAACCCTATACAGGGTCACTATGTGTCAGAACCAACTTAATGACACACAACAACAATAATTAGACATGATATTTATTTATTTACTGTCAGACTTATGGTAGTGTAGTGAGTTACAAGTTGTGCTACTAACCACTTTTTAAACTCATTTAGCAAGTATTATTGCAGTAAAACCTGTTAAAGTCATACTAACTGGCACTGCCTTGTTTTTCCAAGTCTTGCCATTTTCCTCCTGTTACAGGGTGTTTACCAATTTTCTTTGGCTCTCTTTTTAAGAATCCTACCTCTTAAATATCCAGTGAGTTTTCCTTCTCTGAAAAGTGTCTGCCTTATACAAATTCTGACTTTCACAGGTTTTACTATACAGTTGACCTTTGAACAACTCAGAATTGTACTGCACAGGTCCACTTTATACATGTTTGTTGTTGTTGTAGTTTTTCAATAAATATATTGGAACATTTTTGGAGATTTGTGACAATTTGAATTAACTCGGATGAAGTGTACAGGCTAGAAAAATATCAAAAATTGAGAAAATGCTAGGTATGTCATGGAAAAAAAAAATACTAGTCTATTTTATAAGTCCAGGTGTGGTGCTGTAGCATAAGCTAACCTAAAGGTCAGTGGTTCAAACCCTGTAGCCACTCCTCAGAAACTCTGTGCAGGGTACACTATGAGTCAGAACTGACTTAATGGCATTTAACAACAAACAGCAATATTAAAACTTAAAATTTTTCAGAAGTTAAACACAGACTATGCGTGGTGCCATTTGTTAGTCAAAAGAAATGTAAACAGCCTTGATGCAGTATCCAATCATAACTGCATAAAATTAACTGTAATACTCTCTGTACTACTGTAATAATTTCTTAGCCACTTCTGGTTGCTATGCAGTGAGATTAAAACTCTGAGTAATACTGATGATCTATTTGTAAAGCCTCACTCAATTCACAATAAAAAAGTTGTTTGTTTGTTTTTTTGTTTTAAAAGGCAAAAAACCTGTATGTGGCACTAATTATCTCTTCATGAGCAGTTCATCTCTCTGATAAATTGCATATAGCAGAAAAACATGATCTCTCGCAGTTCTTGTGTATTTTTCATAGTGTATGTTACATATTGTAAACCTTGAATTAACATGGGACCCCTGCACAGTGCCTCTAATGATGCTGGACGTGTCTGAAGAAGTAAAGTCATGATACTACAAGAAAGGTTTAATTGTTTGACGTGTACCAAGGTCTCCAACTGTAGTTGGCCACCATTTCAAGTTAAATGAATCCAGCATAAGGACCATAGTTAAAACAAAGAATATGACCTGAGAAAAAGTAAAGCCATTATATAACAATTGAAAGCAAAAAGAAGGTAAAGGATGTAAAACTGGAGAATTTAATGCCAGCAAAAGATGGTTTGGGTTGATCATTTTAGAGTAGAGCTGGTTTGGCTTTTTTAAAAAGAGCCAAGATGCAAGAGAAGCAGCTTCTGTTGACCAAGAGACAGCAAACAAGTTCCCAAATACCCATAAGAAAATCAGTGAAAAGATACCTGCCTAAAGAGGTTTTTTTAATGCAGACAAGGGGCCCTACTCTGGCGATGGAGGTGTGGGAATGCCACAAATGACATTAATTAGTAAGGAAGAGTAGCAAGCATCAGGATCTGAATCAGGAAAGGATAGACTAACTCTACTATTTCATGTAAATGCAGTTGGGTTTTTGTAATGTTCTATTTTGTTTTGTTTTGTCAGTACTATCTATGTATCCACAAAATTGCTAACACCCAAGCCTTGAGAGGAAAAGATAAATACCAGCCACCAGCCTTTTAGTTGTACAACAAGAAGGCCTGGACAACAAGAATCTTTTTTCTAGATTGGTCCCATTATAGGTTTGTCTCTGAAATCAGGAAGTACCTACAGTCAGGGACTGCCTTTTAAAGTTCTTTTGATATTGGATAATACCCCTTGGCCACCCAGGACCCCATACGTTCAACACTGAAGGTACCAGAGTGATCTACTTGTCCTCTCTAATTCAGCCTCTAGATCAGGGGCTCATGGGATCTTTAAGGCCCATTATACATGATACTCTATGAAAAAGATTATTAATGTTGTATAACAGAACCCCAGTAGAGAAACATCATGAGTGTAAAAGCACACCTTTGAAGATGTTGTCATTGGTATAGAAAAGGCTGTGAAAGCCATCATGCCCATAGTAAATTTCTGCTGGAGAAAACTGTACAGGATTTATGACAGAACCAACTGAGGATATCATGAAAGAGATTGTGGATATGGAGAATATATCAATCTTAGAGAAATTCAAGAGCTAGTACACCAAACAGCAGAGGAATTGATAGAAGTTACTTTGGTAGAGATGAGTGCTTCCACATTAGTGTCAGACAACTAGTGTCAGACAATGAGGAAGGAGTCGTGCCAGAAAAACAAGTTGACATTAGAAAATCTGGCAGAAGGGTTCTGGTCATTCATGGTTGCTTTTACAACATGGATCCTTCTATGCTAGGGGAACTGAAACTAAAGCAAATGGTACAAGAAAGATTGAGACTATATAGAAGTGTTTTGAGAAATGAAAATTTGTAAAAAACTCAGACAGAAATTTACAATATTTCCATGAAGTTACACTGAGTGCCTGCCTATGCTGCCACCCTGCCCATCTCTTACACCTCTTCTGCCATCCCTAAGACAGCAAGACCAACTCTTCCTCTTCAGCCTCCTCCAACTTGAAGACAGTTCATCTTGTAAACAGATGAACATAAGTACAGTACAGTACTGTGTAGCATTTTCTTTTCTGTAGTTTACTTTATTATAAGAATACAGTATGTAATGTTGTTACGTGCTGTCGAGTCAGTTCCAGCTCATAGCAGCCCTTTATAGGGTTTCCAAGGAGCTGCTGGTGAACTTGAACCACTGACCTTACAGTTCAAACCAACTTTGCAGTCCAGTGCATTAATGCACAATGCCATACCAAGACTGTATTCATCAACTGTATGTTATTGGTAAGGCTTCCAGTCAACAATGAACTCTATTAGTAGTTAATTTGGGGGAAGTCAAAACTTATACATGGATTTTTGTCTACACAATGAGTTAGTGCCCCTAATCCCCACATTGTCCAAAGGTCAAATGTATTTGTTCAGTTTGCCTTAAAGAGTCCTACAACTGTATCAAAAATCTCTGTTGTATCTCTAGTGCCCAGCACAGTGACCACCAATGGTGTACAATACGCAAATACTTTCTTTTCCTCCAGATTTCAAACCACAATCCTGTTATGGGCCGTACGCCAGAGTTATTTGTATTCCACTCTGAGCCACTTAGCAGTACTCTTGCTTCTGGACTCCCAGAGAGCCTTTTCCTGTGATGCTTCTACACCCTGAACTCTGTTCTCGTGGGTATTATGAAAGTGATCACCTATCTATTGCTTATATTAAGGTTATCAACATGGACTATGGAATGGAAGAGAAGAATCCTATTGATCACGTCCATTTCTATTATAAAAATGATCCCAACAAAGCAATCAGGATTGCCAAAGATCAGGTAACTGTCAACTTATTTAAATAAATACATGGTAATGATATTAGATACATTTGCATTTGTATGTATTTACACCCTAAACTAGGGTGTAAAGTCAGTGTATAGAAAAGGCATAACTTTAAAATATACCACATTTTGTGTAGACTTGAATGTCTTTTTCTATTTTCCCTTTCCTCATATTTGCCAAACATAGAAGAAAAGACTGTTTTGGTTTCCTTTTTTTTTTTCAATCTGCATCTTCCTAGTTTCATTTCTTTGTCTGCTACTGAACCCAAAGGAACTGATTCAAAGCCCTGGTGAATTCAGTTCACAGTGAAGGATTTTCTTCACCAGGTTTCCCAACTTCTGCCTGAGAGGTTTGCAGAGCAGCTGATTCGAGTATACTGTAAGAGGACTGATAAGAAGAGTTTGTATGATGCACAACAACATTTTGTTCAGTGGTGCTCAGACAGAGGCTTCACCAAGCCGCAGGTGGGTAGTTAATAGTCATATGCTTTGCACAGGTTTTTATTTGTAAGTGAATAACAAAAGATTCTTTATACCCTGTGAAATGTTCTCATTTAAATTAGAGTCATCTAGTTTGTCTTTGAAAATGAAGTCTTTCACTTAAAATGTTTGTTTAAAAATGTCTGAATCTGTGTCACCCAGTGTTTCTTCCTACACCTGTGGAGAGTGGGTGCTTTGTTTGCCATTATTGTCCTAATATTAAAAGATAAAAACAGTGCACACATGACTCATGCTTTATAATGTTCTCACCAGTATTTCATCCAGTCCTCCTAGTGTCCCTGGAGGATGGGATTTTTTCCAGGGACAGGGGTCCCCTTCTTTTAGAGAAGGTCATAGAAGCTAATGAGTAGTTAACTTGTTTAAGGCCATGTACAACTGCTAATAAGCTTTTAACTTGTTATTTCAAACATATTATTCCTAAGCCTGGTTACTTGGGTAAATTAGTCACTATTTAAATTCTCTACTAACAAGAGAACTGAGGGGAAGAGGAGCCAAACTGTAATAGTCAACCTTGTAGAGGATGTTGCTCCAATTGTACCTTATTGACTTACACATAGTAGGTGCCTAGCTCAAAGACAGTGACTAATAGATGTTTGTTGACTGAATGAATGAGTGTAGTGGGCAGGCAGGTGGGAAGCAGCATTCTGTTCCTAACTAGTACTGTCCCTTATTATCCCATGATTGCCCTTTTATCCACGTGTTCCCTTCAGCACCAGAAAAGACAGGTCAGACTTGAAAAAGTAGGCCGGTATATCAGTATTTTTCAAATGTCAGAGGAAGAATACACGGAAGTGCTGTTTGGTTTCAGCGTTGGGAGAGCTGTCAGAAAAGCTTGAAACTACTAGATCCAGAAAGCTGGATTGTGTCTGGTGAACAGCAGGGAGAAGGGTGGACATATTTGGCAATGAGCGTAGCACAAAGGCTTGACGCTGGAATACGCTGAGTGTGTTTAGGGCACCATGAGGGGACCAGTCGGACTAGAGTAGAGAATTCTTAATTGTTGAGTAGTGAGGGGCTAAACAGAAAAATAGACTAGGTGATGAAGAAACTTGGATAATCAGCTAAGAAAGGATTTATTTTCCTATGGGCAGTGGAAAAAGAATGCTTCAGCATATTCAAGACTTCCCATGTCACTGTAATTATCACTTACTTGTATGTGTGTTTTAAAGTTCCTGAGTAGTATAAGTGGTTTGCACTCAACTATTAACCTAAAGGTTAGTAGCTCTATCCCACCCATTGGCACTACATAAGGAAGGCCTGGCATCCTACTTCTATAAAGATTGCAACCAAGAAAACCACGTGGAACAGTTCTACTGCGTAGCACATAAGGTCACCATGATTCAGAATCAACTCAACGGCCATGGATTTGGGTTTTAGGTTTTACATTTTGTGTTTGTTATCTCCTCCTACTAGAGTAAGACCCACAGAAATAAGGGACTATGTTTGTCTTGGTAAGGGAGAAAAAAAAATCTAGTGGCAGATGACTTGGAACTTGGAAAGACTGGAAGCATTGAGACAAGAGTTGGTTATAATTAATAACAATAGAGTGACAGTACCTGAAATTTAGGTGCATTCTCTCATTAACTATTGTATTTGCCAGCCCCTAGGTTAGTTACAAAAGAGGAAACAGTACCTATGACAACATAGCCCCTTATTCCCATGGATCTCTCTCGAGGTAGGGATTATAGACACAGAAGTCAATAACACTGACTTTGGCATGGTAAGTGTTCCAGGAGGGAATGCAGACTCTTATAGGAGCAAAAAAGAAGATTTAAGCCAAGATGTGTTCGGGAAAGACTTCCTTAAAAGACTTAGACTTCCTAAGAAAGAGATTTCGCTGGGAAAGGGGGATGGGAGCGCTGGTGTGTTGAGGCAGAGGCACAGGAGGGATCTGCCAGAAGATGAGGAGTGGTGCACTTAGAGAAGGATCACAGAATGGGTACTATTTATAGTCTTAAAAGCAAGAGCAATGGGGAACTATTGAAGGGTTTTGAGCAGGTGCTTGACATATTCAAGTGTACATGTATGAAGTTGACTTGTTGAGTTTAGAGTGGGTAGGAATAGAGTTGAGTTTGAAGACACATACTGTTGACTTTGAGACAGGTGGTCTTCAAAGTCTGGCTCTCATGGCAACAGAATGGCTGTATCAGTCAGATCTAGCCAGGAAAAAAGAATCTGTGCCAGATTGTTCAACAGAAGAAACTGAATGTGAGAGACAGGCTACCAAGGTTTTGGTAGATCTAAATGAACAACTAGAGGATAGGGAGACAACAACATGAAGCTGCTACCACCTTTAGGATAGGAGGGTCCAGCGAAGGAGGTAAGAGTCCAGAAGCTGGGACCACCTACAAACAATTGAATCACGGAAGAGTCAAAGTTGCTGTTATGCAATCTCAAATGGGTGGGGACAGATTCCCTGGTTTTTCTGCTCTCCTCTTGGTTCTTCCACCAGTGCTTCTCATTGACCAAGCTTAACTGGAAGCCAGTAAGGTCAGGAATTAGGAAATGTGGTTTGCAGGACAGCTCTGATGCAGAGTAGATGAGAGGGAGGGTGGGAAATAGATTTGAACACAAAGAGGCAAACAAGGAGGGCAGTATCCTACCACAAATATTATTTTCCTAGAATAATAGAGGTTTTCAACAATCCTTTACCTCCATGTAACCAAAGAGAAACTATCCACAAGTTCAAGAGCAGTACGATCGGGCCGGGTGCTAGAAGGCCTCTGCTCTCCGGTTGGACTTCACTGTGAGGCCATCCCTCAGTTTAGGTGGATGAGCTCACTGGACGGAGCTGATGGGGCCAAGGTTGTAGATTTGATTGCAAGAAAAATTCAAGTTCTACAGGTTCATACTGTCATTCCCCATTTTTGCTGTCCATTTACCACAGAAAGGACCAGGCAAGATAGGAGCAGGGGCCCAGTACACTCATTCTCAACTGTAGAAAAACAGGGCAGAGTTGTGTTCCATGAAGGATATGAAGGTTAAAGGTCATAAAACTGGGCAGTCTTAAATACTGTCTTGTTCTTGTTGTTGTTAAGTGCCATCGAGTCAATTCCAACCCATAGATACTGTCTTGTTGTTGTTGTTAAAGTGCTGTCAAGTCGATTCCGACCCATAGCAACCCTGTGTAGGGTTTCCAAGGAGCAGCTGATGAGCTTGAACCACTGATCTTGCAGTTCAAATGACTGCAGTCTGACACATTAACCCATAGCACTACACCAGGACTCTATAGGTACCGTCTTGTTGTTGTTACGTGCCGTGGAGTCTGTACCGACTCATAGTGACCCCATACAGGGTTTCCGAGGCTTTAAATCTTTACAGGAGCAGAAAGCCTCATCTTTCTCCCACAGAACAGCTGGTAGTTTTGAACTGCTGACTCTGAGGTTAGCAGCCCAATTTGTAACCACTACACTACCAGAGTTAAATCCCATGGCAGATGCTTCCAACCATCTTTGAAAAGAAGAGATCTGAGGACTTTTGTCTTGAAGACCCTTACCTGCTTAGGACTGTGGTATTTCTAATTTGACCCAAGCATATGACATATATATGATTTGGGCTTTCTCATGAGTAAGAACAAAACAAAAGATTACTGTGTGATTAAATTAGGAAAGGTGTATACCCAGGTTGTATCCTTTCAACAATTTGTATGCTGAGCAAATAATCCGAGAGATTGACCTATGTGAAGAAGAACATATCAGGACTGAAGGAAGACTCATTAACAACTTGTGATATGTAGTTGACAGAACTTTGTGTGCTGAAAGCAAAAAGGACTTGAAGCATTTATGGATGAAGATTACAGACGACAGTGTGGATTACACCTCAATATAAAGAAAATTAAAATCCTCACAACTGGACCAATAAGCATTTTATTTTACTTGTGTCCACAATACATGTCCATGGAAGCAGCAGTCAAGAAATCAAACATATTCCATTGATGAAAAAAGGCAAAAGGCCTCTTTAAAGTGATAAAAAGCAGATGTTTCTAAGGACTAATAATGTGCCTGACGGAAGTCATTGTATTTTCAATCGCTTCATATGCATGCAAGAGTTGGACAAAGAATAAGGAAGACTGAAAAATTGTTGTTAGGTAAAGTTGAGTCAGTTCTGAATCATAGCCGACCCTATGTCCAACAGAATGGAACATTGCCCACACGTGTGCAATCCTCACAATTGTTGTTATATTTCAGCCTGTTGTTGCTGATACCTTGTTAGTCCATCTTGTTGAGAGTCTTCATCTTTTGCACTGACCTCCACTTTACCAAGCATAATGTCCTTCGGGGACTGGTCCCTCCTGACATGTCCAAAGTAAGACAGATAAAGTCTCACCATCCTTGCTTCTAAGCAGCATTCTGCATGTTTTTTCCAGGATAGATTTGTTTTTTCGTCTGGCTGTTCATGGTACTTTCAATATTTGTTGTCAACATCATAATTTAAATTCTTCTGTTATCTTCCTTATTCATTGTTCAATTTTCACATGCATATGAGGCAAATGAAAATACCATGGCTTGGGTCAGGTGCACCTTAATCCTCAAAGTGACATCTTTGCTCTTTAGTACTTTAAAGAAGTCTTTTGCAGCAGAACTGCCTAATGCAATATGTTGTTTGATTTCTTGAATTCCATGAGCATTGATTATGAATCCAAGCAAAATTAAGTCTTTGACAACTTGAAACTTCTCTGTTTATTGTTATGTTATTTATTGGTCCAATTGTGAGGATTTTCATTTTATTTACATTGAGATACACTGCATACTGAAGGCTGTAGTCTTGGATCTTTATCATTAAGTATTTCAAGTCCTCTTTGCTTCTAGCAAGCAAAGTTGTATCATCTGCATACCACAGGTTAATAAGTGAGTATAAAACACCTACTATCCCTCCCACAGCACTCTCCTCTCACCTGGTTTTGACAATTCCTTACAGTGGTCACACAGGACCTAGACACCATATTCCCAGTTATGGGGTTTATTAGGGAAATTAATGGGTTATATACAATTCAGGTCAGAATTCTTCAAGTCAGGATCTCTTCTTCTCAGCTGTGCCCACAGGCAAGCCTCTTGGCACCTTGGCCTGGCCTCTGCCCTGCTCATACAGTATTATAGAACTCTTTTAGGGCTGTTGGTAAATGTTTACAGGTCACATCACGGTACCATAAGCCTCAGCATGAAGGCACTGGGCTGTAGCACCAAAGCTCAGCAAACATAGCTTCCTCAGTTAAGTGCCTGGAGACACCCCAATCTGTAAGCTAACCTTTTGCCCAGAGTCCCTCAGCTGTCCTTGCTTAGTGGGTTGGAAAGCCTACTGTTCCGTGTGGCGCTCTGGCTCTTGGTTCTGCTGCAGCTACTCCTCTGGTGTCACAACTCTCTGTCCCCAGGTCAAGGAGGTCAATATGCAGGGATCACGGGGTCCAAACAACATATTCCTCTCATGGCTTTTACTTGACAGCAGTGACATCCCCACCTCCTGCATCTGAGATGGCTCATTTTATACCTACATTAGAGTTCCAAGGTGTAAGAATCACAGGTAGCCATGTTAGCATTCAGTCACCACTGTATCTTATCAGCATCTTCTCCCACAACCAATTGGGAATACAAGTGGGAGTTACAAAGATTATGGGTCAAAAGAGCCATGTGAAGTAATTCACTCACTGCAATGTGTCTTCTTTCAGTCCTGATGCCACTTTCTTATTCATATAATCCAGTTTCCTAGATTATTTGCTCAGCAAACAGACTGAATAAATGTGAAAGGATAAAATCCAGACAAACGCCTTTCCTGATTTTAAATCATTCACTATGCCCTGAAATTGATACCTTGAAATTACAGTGTTGACAAAGGATATTGAACATACCAGGGACTACCAAAATAATCTGTCTTAGCGGAAGTAAAGTCTGAAAGTTCCTGGAAGTGAAATTGGCGAGACTTTTCCTCATGTACTTTGGACATGTTATCAGGAAGGGCCAGTCCCTGGAGGGCCATTATGCGTGGTGAAAAAAAAAAAAAAAAAAGTTAAAAAGAGGAAGACCCTCAACAAGATGGATTGGCTTAGTGGCTACAGCAGTGAGCTCAGACACAGCAGTGATGGAGGATGGCACAGGGCTGTGTTTCATTCTGTTGTACTGGGGACACTGAGTCCTAACTGACTCATGGATGCCTAACCAACCACAAGAGTAAGGATGTCTAGAACCATCCTTACTGTCTGCAGAGACAGGACTTGTCAACCTGAAACCCTCACTCAGAAATACAATGTCGTCACTGGCTTTTCTCTGTTTCCCCCTTTTTTCTCTTCCTTCTAGATGCTGATGCTGTAGTCCTACCCAAAAGCACCTTGGAAATGGAAGTGGAATTCCAATTTATCCCTGAGTTCCAGTTGGGACCAAGAAACATCTAAATCCAGAATCTAGTTTTTAAAAGAATTGACCCTGTGTAAATATGACGAAAAGCCCTTTCTCGCCAACACTTCATTTAGGGAATTCTACCAGAGTTCCACAAATTTAGTGTCAATTAGGGCTTTTTCCTTTATGTTTTGATGTACACATTAGAGCTAACTAACATTTTATTCAGAGAAAATATATTCAGAGGAATTACATGTGCTATGAAAAGTAGAGCCTGGTTTATTGTTAATCTTATTTGAAATCTTTCTCCTTTAGTAGTCTATTTTCTTAGAATTATAACTGCTATGTAGTCTGAACCCTTATGATAAAGGGTTGTTTTTTAAGATTTGGAAGTAAGAAAAGGGTACACATTGAAATTTAAAATGGGAATTGTCTTGATGAACAGCCTTGGTTAAAAACAAAACATCAAGTCCTAACACACACCCCACACCCAAATGTAAGGATGGCCTCCTTCAGCCATCCAAAGATAAGTGAAAGGTGCCTTCCCTGGTCTGTGACCACTTGAGCACTGCCAGGTGGCAGTAAACAGCAGGCGATAAGGTCTGGGAGTGGGTTCCAGCTCTTTAGTGAGACTCCTGATTAAGTTCTTCAGAAGATGTTCACGCTCCTCCTAAGTAGATGTAAAACCACTTTTTGTGGACCCAGAGGCAGAGGGATCTCCCAAACCTGGCTGCTCTCTGGGTCTGTTGTGGTTCCAGACCCAGACAGTTACTTTCCCTCTTCACTATGGAATGCCCAAGTTCCTCAGGCTTTACCTCTGCCCGCCCTGCAGTGAGGTAGCCACCACCATGGTTGAGCAGTACTCCTGAGCCCAGGGCAACACCCTGTCATCCCCAGTTCTGTCTACAGAATTCACCAAGAATAGAGTCTGGGGTTAGAGCTCAACCTGGTGATGTTCAGAAGGTCCCAAAGATGCATGGTATGTGGGGAGGAAGCCACTGATATCTTCTTCTTTGACACGCCCTTGAGCTCAGAGATGGGCTAGGAGTGAGGAGGCAGGAAGTACAGGCAGAAGGAACTCAGACCACAGGACAGCAGGTGAACCACAGAATGTTGGGCATGCCTTCTCATTCCACGAACAACCGGTTCTGGTGTGTTGGCACTAGGATATAAGTGTCTGCCTGGGTTATAACAACATACCTCCCCCCCACTTCCAGCCCAGTCTCTCAATAGATAATGATGGCTTAACCATAATCATAGGAGAATAGTTGAAACCCTTCTTCCCAGCCCCCACAGTGATGCTATACTGATGAGATATGGTTCACAGGTGGGTTCATGGAAGCACAAGTGAGGTCTGCCGAGGTACTGGTATCCTATCTGCTCTAAAACATCTAGTGGGTTAGAACTGTAAGTCTCAGATTTTGTGTGCCCAGACACAAGGCCAAGAATGTAATTATTATGGTACTAAGATTGCCTTATTTTTTAATATTCTACCTTTAAATCTTTGTGATTTACTTTGAAGTCATGTAGTCCCCATATTGTATCATTAGAGAAGCAACTTGAATCTATTTTGTTTACGCTTTATGTTCTTTACAATTGTTTTAATGCTAAGAACTATGTGCCATTCACAAAGTTAAAAAATATCTACACTGTTTATATTAAATGGGACGATTTTAGCAGCTTAGCCTTTAGAGTTACTGAACATTGTGACTTTGAGACTGTAAATAGAACTGAAAGTTCAAATGACTGGTTACTTCAGTTGGGTGAGAGAAACAGCTGCATTGAAGCTTCATGAATGTTCGAGGATAACTCACAAAGTATTGCTACCAGGGTGCCAGTTCACACATGCACACATTCATTCCAAACCAAGCATGTGTAAATGGATCTATGCTACCACTGGATGGCTGCAGAAGACGAGTTGTCTTATTAATGCATGGGAACCACAAAGTCAGCGGTTCAAACTCACCAGCCACACCTCGGAAACCTTATTAAGGGGCTGTGTGAGTTGGAACCATCTCGACGGCACTTAACAAAAATAAGAAGTCTCTTTAAAGTACCTTAATAAAACAAAACAACAACAAAATGGTCCAAATAAAACATTAACTTGCTTCTGAAGGGATCTGCTGTGTCAGTTCAAGGCAGAGAAGACAGCTTAGAACGTTATGTTGTTGTTGTTAAAGCATGTCAAGTCAGTTCCAACCCACAGTAACTCTATAGGGTTTGCGAGGAGCAGCTAGTGAGCCTGAACCTCCAACCTTGCATTACAAACCGGCTTGCAGTCTAGTGCATTAACCTAAAACGCCTCCCAGAAAGTTATAATGACGGTTTTTTGGGACTTGAAAGGATTAATCTTGAAAGATTTTACTGAAGAAACATGACAACCACAGGGGCTTATTTTGAAAAAAAATTAAGAAAATTGAAATACATGTGGGTGATAAGTAAAAGGTCAGGAAATCTTCAAAGAGATG